TTTCAGAGATCATTACAAATAAATTATTAAATGCTAAAACTGAATAAATTTAAATGAACAAACTTGCCGTTGCATTTGCAACCATGTGAAAACGGGGTGCTGCAGCCCCCTCAGCACCCCTACTTCCCACGTCCCTGGCTTGTTTGTCTTGAAGTGTCTGTCGCTAATTTGCTGTGAGCGCTGTCATGGTGTATTGTCTTAAACACATTACATTTGTTGGTTTTGTGTGGTAGGAGGGATTGAGTGTCTGTATAGGCCTATTTTGTGTGATGATGCGTTTGTAATGAGGATTTGCATTTGACTTCAATTTAGCTGTTTTATTTTGGTAATATCAGTCACTCTCCCTGTACTGTTTTGTTGCGGTCGCACAGCGGACGAGAAGCGCAGTTCCCCGGTGCAACACGTATCGCACAACGTCAGTTCAAGACGGCAGTCCAAAACATTTAATCTATTCCCAAAACTGTCAAAACTTAACTTCAAGAATGAGCAAGTGGTGTCAATGTGTTTAAAGTTCGGGGATCGAAAAAACAGCAAACGGGATGAGAAATTGCGATCTAACTTATAGCTTCACTAACTTAAATGAATCACGAAATTTAGAGCCACAGAAAGACAAACGTTTTGCTGAATAAATGCACAATACACAATCTTCCAACCTAGGATGAAGTCATTATGTACATTAACAATGATTTGGGACAAATATAATGTATTTTAATGGAAAATGATGTGAGTGGCGCTGAGGCGCTCTGTGGCGCGGCAGGATTATGAACAGCGCCCGGAGTCGCAGCTGGGATCCGCGGACTGTCGCCGGTGGCGCCGCCGGTGTGCGTGCACTCATAGAAAAGAAAACAATGTGTGCGAATATTAAAGACGTGTGCGGTGTGATGCAGCACTGCACTTGTCCTCCGGTGTGCGACCACCTTAAGGCTGGAATAGCCTCTTGTTTCAGAGGTGGAATTGTCAAATTGTCAAAGATGACTTTTAGAAGAGGACACCATAAGCTAGGCTGGTAGTTTGTTCTTTCCCCCGACGAGGGTAGGGGGAGAGGGCCTAGGTTCTAGAGTCACGGTTCGCTACTGTCATACAGAAACCCAAAACTAGCCCCTTTTTTCACATGTCCACTGTTGGTTTAACAGGAAATTTGGCAGAATGGATTTAAAATCAACTTGCAAATTCTGGATAATGTGTAAAATTGCGTGTTGACATTTCCATAACTGACATATAGTTGGCTTTCATGCTTTTACATGTGTATCGTTTTTCTTTCACTTCAGCAGAAAACTAAATATTTGCATTTAGTATAACATCTGTTATGTATATAACATTAACATCATAAAACAAACACCAACCTTTGTTTTGTTTTGTTACTGTTATATAAATGAATTGATTTAATACGGCACGCTCATACTGTATTTTTAGATTTAATAGCTTAGGCTTTCTGAAATGGATTTTATTTAACAACCACCAATAAAACACAAACCAGCATCAAAGTTCTTATTTAATGTTATTTCATTAGAGAATTTAAATTTTGCCAGATGTTTTTTTTTGTTTTTTTTTGAAGTGGCCGTCCTGAGTGAGCTTTTTTCCTCTGTGTTTTAACAGAATTGGCCAATATGTGGAGGGAGAAACTTAGCACCTGATCCAAAGCAGAAAGAACTGCTGTTAACTGGGTGAGATTTTTATTTTTATTTGTATTTTTATTTTATTTTATTTTATTTTATTTTATTTTATTTTATTTTATTTTATTTTATTTTATTTTATTTTATTTGTATTGTATTGTATTGTATTGTATTGTATTGTATTGTATTGTATTGTATTGTATTGTATTGTATTGTATTGTATTGTATTGTATTGTATTGTATTGTATTGTATTGTATTGTATTGTATTGTATTGTATTGTATTGTATTGTATTGTATTGTATTGTATTATTTATTTTAATTTTTATTTTTATTTTAGAGAAATCAAAATTAAGTTATTTGAACAGCTGCTTATATTTTTTTTCAGTGTTTTGATAAAGCTCCCACAGGCTTTAATGAAAACATTAGTGTTTATTTGTATCAGTTGTCAGGATGATGTGTGCCTATATTTGTTTTTTTGTTTAGTCACGAGGATGGTACAGTGCGTTTCTGGGATGCGTCAGGAGTGTCGCTCAAACCGCTGTACAAACTGAGCACAGCCAACATCTTTCAGACAGACTGCGACCACAACGACAGCCTGACGCAGGCCGGGGAGGAGGAATGGCCTCCTTTTAGAAAGGTCAGGGATTTATGGGATATCTGATGATTTTTTTCACTTTTAAAACAAAGCGTAAATCACATCATCTGGACAGTGTTATTTTATTTTACTTTACTCACTGTTTTCTTTCACAACAAGGGCAGCTTTAGCAAGTTTATTCACCTCTCCCTTCTCTTTTTTGTTTTCCTAATCCACCTTTTCCTCTTCATCAGCTTCTTCATAAAACGCCAACTGCAGTCTGGCGCGTGGCCCACTTTAGCATATGGGATTCACACTGGAGTCGATTCCTTTGCACCTTAATTAAAAGCAGACTGTCTGTCTGATGACTGAAATTCTTTGCTAATGTCTGCTGAAGATGAAGCACATTGCTTCTCTGGATGGCACTGCTGCATTGCTTTTGTTTTACTTTTTTTTTTTTTTTCTCCTCATAACATGCACATTCCTCTTTTCTTTGTTCTAGTCTTTGTCCGCTGCTGTTTGACTGGGATCAGACGTTTTTGAGGGTCAATGTTTCTAGAGGGGAATGAAATGTAGTCTTATATTATTACAGATTGCATTATATTGTTCATAACATGGGTGGAGCTATATCGCTGATGCTTTTTCTTTAAAGCTGTATAGATTTGATTTTTCTTTGGCATGTGGAAGATATTTTGTTCGTCTTTGTTACAGTTAGAATGGACTTTATTGGCTCAGGTTTGTTTTTGTACTATATGTTCCTCAAAGGGATATTGCAACTCTATTTGTGCAGCCTTAAGAATCGATGAAGAAGAATAACAATCCATGTTTGCTTTTCATTTATTTCCAGGTGGGCTGTTTTGATCCATACAGTGATGATCCCAGACTAGGAATCCAGAAGATCAGCGTCTGTAAATACAGCGGAAAACTTGTGGTGGCTGGAACTGCTGGACAAGTAGGATCACTAGATTTTAATGATTAATGCAAATATATTTTTAGCTCAGTAGCTTTGTTTTAAAAAGCCTAGTTAAGTGGCTTTGCTGTGTGCTGTCTACGTTGGCAGCATTCTAACAATATTGAAGCATGAATAATGACATGGATTTATCCCATCACCTTGGGGAAAGCCAGTGCCATTCCAATATGGCCTAATAATGTTGCCTAGGTGGGCAGCTCACTAAGTTTTCAAATGGCAATTGTCTTCACAAAAATAAATGTTAGTAATATTATATCCTATACTCTGTTCTCAGGTTATAGTTATGGTTCTTAGCGATGAGAAGTCCGATCACATGATTGATGTGGCCACGGTGGACCTGCTCCAGGACCGAGAGGGTTTTACGTGGAAGGGTCATGACCGGCTGCCTCCTAAGAGCGGCTCAGTAGTGTTTGCTCCTGGATTCCAGCTGGTTGTCCTGGTGCAGTGCATGCCCCCCGCGGCCGTTACGGCGGTAACCCTGCACGCAGAGTGGAACCTCATTGCCTTTGGCACCAGTCATGGCTTTGGCCTCTTTGACTATCATCGGCGAAGTCCAGTTCTGGCGAGGTAACTCGCGGGGCCATCCAAAGCTGCTGTGTTATGCTTGTTCAGGAGCACTTTTAATCAGTGGATCCAATTGAAAGAGATTGATCTCATTTGCTATGAAGATATTTAAGTTATCTGAACTTAACTGTTGGCTCGATTTTTTTAATTAAATACATTTACTATTTAATAATTAAAATATATGTGAAATTTGTCATGCGCAAACCCATCTTCAAATCAGGCAGGGTTTTTAAATGAACGACTAATAATGACAAAGTTAATAAACACATAATTATCTCAATGAGCATGTCTCATCCGAAGCTGCATTTCCAACTTAATTTTACAAATGTTTCAGGACACAAACATATTGAAATTAAACAAGAAAATTGAAATGTATTGCATGTGAATCCACTTAATTGTTATTACAAAATATTCTTGCATACTCTGCATCTGCCTCTAGAATGTGCTTATAATAACCAACCTAATGAAAACCCTCATTAATATTATTTGCAACAACAACAACAACAACAACAATAATAATAATAATGTTAATTATAATACATTTTATTTAAAAAATAAAGTATTAATAATAATAATATTAACTGTTATATTAAGTGAATTCAGTTATTTAATAAGTGCTAATTAATAATAGAATAGTAATCAATTTTATTAGAAAAAATATTTTTAATAGTAATAACTATATAAAATAATAAAATCAATAATAAAATAACAAATAATACAAATTGGACTTTTGTGTGACTGTACTTTGCTATAAAGGAAGGTTTTGTGTTTTTCCATAGGTGCACTCTACATCCCAATGACTCTCTGGCTATGGAGGGCCCGCTGTCTCGAGTGAAGTCTCTGAAGAAATCCCTGCGCCAGTCCTTCAGAAGAATCCGGAAGAGCAGAGTCTCGGGAAAGAAACGTGCTGTGGTTTATAGTCCCACCAATAAAGTAAGTGTCTGGAAATTTCACGTACATGGATTACAATCATACAGGTTTTGGTCATTCTAGGCAATGAGACCATTGTTTGTGAGTCTGTTGACTTGTTGATTATTAGTTTCCTTTAAGATGCTCATCTCGTTTTCATCAGGTGCAGGAGGCTAACGCTCAGTTGGCGGAGCACGATGCTGAGGTGACACCAGTGCAGAGACGGATTGAGCCCCGCTCTGCAGACGACTCGCTGTCTGGAGTGGTGCGCTGCCTCTGCTTCGCTGACACTTTTCTTAGAGATGGTGAGAATTGTGGGGGAAAAGGTTTCAAATATGGCATAGTTTGGTAGTTCAGACTGACAGTATGAATACTTAAATGTGTTTTTTTTTTTACCGTTTTTATGTAACTGAATTTGAAATGACTATTCAATACTATATAAGATCCATCCTTTGAAATCCAATTGGGATGTTTTAAAAAATGTGCAAATATACTGAACATTTTTCAGTAGCGATTATTTGTGAATTATTCCTATTGAATTATTGAATCTATTTACAGCCCTAGTTTGACTTGATCAGTTTTACAACCCTGTTTTAATTATCAGTCTGATATCAGATCAGCAAAAGCAATTTTGCTGTTGATCGAATCTAGAAATCTAATTATAAATCTAAGTTTTGTCTGTCCTGTGTGAAATGTGTGCACAAGCACAAGGCAGCACCATTTCCCTCATCTTCCAATATATGACCTCGTGACTCAGACTCTTGCACAATAGTGATCAGATCGTGTTTGGGGAGAGCTGAATTTTCCATGAGGAAGTTCTGAACAACGTAGTATTGTTTTATTAGTTCAATATATTTAAATGATTCACAGTAATGGGGGGAATAACTTTGCATTTGTACTGTGCAGTTATGGGTGTGAGTGGTTTGTTATTGGAACATAATAATAGGTAAGGTTAGGTCACTATTTTCTGAAATAGCTGTGCTGACTGAAAAAGGAAAACTAAAAAATGTGCTCACACAAAATACTTAGGCCGCCAAATCAGGTCATGGAGAATGCTACTGACAAGCTGATAAGTTGAATCAGATGTTAGATAACAGATCCAGAACTTCAGTTTAGGGTGGACACAAAGAGCAGGATTGGGAAATGTTTGCTAGAAGATCATGATTCACATTCTTGTCAAATATTTATTTCAAAACAATGCTTTTTTACTCCATAGTTTGGGTACAATTTATAATTTTTTTTAATCGTTTTTGAAAGTCTCTTATGCTCACCAATTATTATTTATTTGATCAAAAATACAGTAAAACTGTAATAATATGATTATTACAGTTATAATTTAAAATAACAGTTTTGTACTTTAATAGATTTGAAAATGTTATTCATTTTATTAATTTTCAGTAGCCGTTACGCCACATGATCCTTCAGAAACTATTCTAATATGCTGATTTGGAACTAAATAGTTGTGTTGCTGCATATTTTTCGTAAAAAAAAAACTGCACGGATATGTTTTTAGTATTATTTAATGGATAGAAAGTTCAAAAGACCACCATTAAGTAAAAAAATTCTTTCATCTAAATGCCTTTTTGGTTAATTTAATGTGTCCTATGAATAAAAGTGTTAATTACTGACCTCAAACTTTTGAATGGTAATGCTATTAATATAACTGTTCAGCTTGCTCTTGCCTTTTGTTACACAGCATTTTAGTACTTAAGTTCTATTCATTAATTTTCATCGTCCTCATCAAAAGTAGAGGCTGAAAGATGAATTATAAAACATAGTCCTGTAATTCTTATTAAATGTTTACTTTTTTGCACTTGCCAGATGTTAAACTAAATGTAAAAGTTCCACAATCTGTCAACACTTGAATATAATAATGAGTGTACCCCTCTATATGGTGATTACAACTCTGCATATAATAGTATTTTCATGTCAGATTTTTCTTTTTAAAAAAGACCATAACAAATCAGGATTTGTAAAAGTAATACCAGATCTACGAAACTGGCATTAAATCATGCATGTATTTTGTAAATGAGACTTCAGAATGTCAACATTTATTGTTATGGATATAGGCCACCTCGTTGACAGCATTATTTTTCCCATGTTTCTCAGGAACACATCATGGACCTACAATGTGGGCCGGCACAAACTCTGGCTCCGTGTACGCATACGCTCTGGACGTACCCTCGCAGGAGAAGTTCTCTGAGCAGAGCGTGGAGGCGCTGCTGGGGAAGGAGATCCAGCTCATGCACAGAGCTCCAGTGGTGTCCATCGCTGTGCTGGATGGCCGAGGGAACCCTCTGCCGGAGCCGTACGAAGTCTCCAGAGATCTGGCCAAAGCCCCAGACATGCAGGGCAGCCACTCTGTTCTTATTGCTTCTGAGGAGCAGTTTAAGGTTGGGATATTTACATCTAAATAAATTGGATCATCAAAAAAATGGATTAGAAGTGAACAACCTTTCTTTTGCTTTCTGTAGGTTTTCATGCTGCCTAAAGTAAGTGCGAAGACCAAGTTCAAGTTGACGGCCCATGAAGGCTGTCGAGTACGAAAGGTGGCGCTGTCGAACTTCACCAGCATTAGCTCTGAAGAGTACTCTGAGAACGCTTTAGTGTGCCTTACCAATCTGGGTGACATCCACATGTTCAGTGTGCCAGCACTGAGACCGCAAGTACGCTACGACTGCATCCGCAAAGAAGATATCAGTGGCATTGCTTCCTGCGTGTTCACTAAGACTGGACAAGGTTAGTAGTTCGTTCTCAAACAGCATGTAAATAATTTCTAGCTTTGAGCTTTTCCACATGAATGAGATTCAACTATGTTGCCTTCAATATTATTAGGATTCTACCTGATTTCGCCCTCGGAGTACGAGCGCTTCTCGCTGTCGGCTCGTGTGATCACAGAGCCGCTGTGCCGAGTGGATGTGGAACGACCTCACGATCTCTCTGCTCACAGGTAAACGAGAGAGATTTCTCGAATCAGTTTAACAGTGTTCTAGCCAGGTGCAATGCAGAGTTTAAAGATAATTGCCTGTCAAGTCTGAATGTGAAATTCCTGGGCAGCATCAGTCACTGCCAGTTAGAAGCTATTAGATGTTCAATATGCAATTATGTTGAGTGGGATTTTGGATCAGTGAGATTTCACTGTTGGTGGAGCTACTCAAGCAATTTCATAAAACATCATCCTACGGGTGAAATGTATATTGTAACCTGGACTTTATTTCTCATTTAATTGTTTTTTTCCCCACTTTGGTTTTTGATGATTGGAAATGTGTGTTGGGATGAAGTTTATTTGCTTTTTACTCTGATTTGAAAAATTCTGTTAAAGTAAAAGTGATAGTTGGTAGTAGAACGCGTCACACGTGTTCAAGATTCCGTGTTTAGCATATTTGATGTGCACTTTGTGTAAGGAATTACTCTACAGTAATTTATTTAATATTTACTTTTATCTGCCATCAGACTATCTGAGACATTGTTGTCATAACGCGTTGCTGTGGGTTGCATCTTGCTTCGGACTTGACTGATAGACTGGCATTCGCAAACTTCATGCTTTCTAACTTTATCTCGGTTTTCCCTTTGTTGCAATTAATCTGCTTACTGTACATATAAAATGCAAGAAGTTTATATCAGTAGTCCCTTATTAATAATTGTGACCCCACAGTCTGTTTACAATGTCTATCACTGTAACATGTTTACATCTAGCAATGTCTTTATACAGTGTGTGCATATATAGAGAGATAGTGTGTATGTTATTATTGGAATATATATATATATATATGCGCATGTATGCATATTTTAGCAATCAGATCTTAATATTCCTTATTAAAGCACTATATATAAAGAAATTTACAGAATACTTGTATTCATCAAGGACACACTAAATTAATCAAAAGTGACAGTAAAGACATTTCTAATGTAAACGCTGCTCTTTTGAATTTTATATTCATCAAAGAATTTTGGAAAAAAGTATGGTTTCCATGAAAATATTAAGCAGTTTTCAACATGATAATAAGAAATGTTTGTTGAGCAGCAAATCAGCATATTAGAATGATTTCTGAAGGATCATGTGACACTGAAGACTGGAGTAATGATGCTGAAAATTCAGCATTTCATCACAGAAATGAATTACATTTCAAAATTTTAAAATCATTAAAAAAAAGTTCTTTAAAATTATAAAATTATTACACAATATGACAGTTATTACTGTATTTTTGATCAAATAAATGCAGCCTTGGTAAGCAGAAGAGACTCATTTAAAAAAGCAAAACTTTTAAATGGAAGTGTACAGATGGGTAAGTTTGGTGGATGATCATGTTGAAGAAATTAATCATGTTCCAGACATTTGGAGAGAATAATAGTTCTGCATTTTCAGCACATTTCAATCTTTTTTTAGTGGTTCCAGCACGCCGCTCCCACCACAGGCTAATGGAACACACAAGACACAAGCAGAGAGCAAGTCTGTTGAAACCGAAGGTAACAGTTCTGCGCTCAAGTCTTGACAGATGGAAAATAAATGTCATTCTTCACCCAACTAGCTGAAATTACCAGCGTTTGTGCGGTTTTGTTTTACTGGAAATTAAAATTTTTATGACTGAAGTCTAATTTATGTACTTGATGTTTAATGTCTCATACAGCAGTTAATTTTTCTAAAACCATGATCTCACCCCTTTTGTGACAATACAAATCACACTGTCAAACCTCAGAACAAGTTGTATTTCATGCAATGTAATGAGTTCATTGCTTAGGCTAAAAAAAAATTAAAATAAGTTACTATGTTGGTCATTCTCTCAGGGCTCTTGGATGAAATGCGGAGCGCCTTGTCCTCGCCCATCCTGGATTCTCCAAACAGCAGTGCTGACATCACACTGGACACCACTGGAGAGCTCACCGTTGAGGACGTCAAAGACTTCTTAATGTGCGCGCTCTTTACTTATCTATTCTGGTCTATTACAGTTGAGTTTTTATTTTGGGATCCCCTCAATGTTTTGCTTCTTTAGGACTGTGGATGAAGCTGAGAATAACTTCAGGAACATCACTGAAGAAGATGGGAGGCCTCCTGGAATTCTCATCAACTGAGGCGAGCTGGCAGACAGCTGGAGGTGAGGAACTCGTGGAGCGGCTGTGAACACTGGTCTGTTGTATTGAATGTATTCAAGTACATTCAGTTGCTGAGATCTGTATTGCTTTTGAGTCCGATAAAGTCTGCTGTTTGTAAAAAATGATCCCTGATAGGTATGTATGTGTATATGTATTTTTTCTTTTTTTAATTTAACTGCTATCTGTTAGTATCTTGTACCTACTTTCTTAAAGGGGTAGTATCACTGTAGTTCAACTACTTGTCCTACGTAGCTTGTAATGCTAGAGTTTATAATAAATAAAAATGGCTTAGTAAATGATGGTTAAGGTAGGCAAAGAGACAAAACCGTGGTGCTTCCAGGCATCTTGTGTATTTTATTGCCAGAGATCTGTTTGTTGAGAGAATTCTTCCCCCACCTCCTGCTTCGTGACTTTCTAGATGCCACAGTAGTTTCTAGTTTGCTAATGACTGCAGTCAGTTTATGCTTTACTTGCTGGACAAGGAGAAGGCTTAAACTAAATATATATGCAGAGCTTGACGGAATGCACTCTTGTGATTTCTGCAGTCCATATCTTGCAAGCTGACGCTCAGTAGGGCATCTGCCTCTCATCCTCCTTCGTTAAGCCCAAGGCATTATTATCGGAACTGCTACTTAGCCTTGGACATTTTACATTGTTTATTTGCACTTTACCGCTTTGCCTCCTTGTGGACATGTTTGGCAGTGCAGAATGGTTTGATTCTAAAATCAAACGCTGTGTTTGGATGAGTGCCTGTGATTTACATGTAACTGCCTCAGTATTTAAGTCTTAAAGGTGATGTTGTTTTTCAGGAGCAGTTATGGGTGAAGACTTATCAGCTGAACTCGTTACTTCTGATTGGGTCTTGACAGAGCGGTTTGTGACTCCGGAAGTTGCACCAAACATTGTTCATGAAGTTTTTACAATGGGAATGTTGCACTTTTTTCCCTGTGCCAAAAGACTGAATGATTCATTCTGTTATCCTCTTTTTCTTCACCTTTCCTCGAGTTTCCTTTTTTCTTTTTTTTCTGACAACCATTGCTTTCAGGGGCCATAAAATGGTACATTTGAGAGGTGACTTTTAAAGGGATCGGGCAATAAAACAGCCGAGATGTTGCACAATGTCTGTATGCAGGTGGGGGGCTACTTGCACTGAGCCCATGACATTTTTCTTCTTAGTTTGTCTTTTAACATTCCTCTTCTGTCACGTCATCTCTCCTCTCACTGTGTGCCATTTAGTTTATGCTAAATCAAATCAAAATTCTTATATTTCGATGTCTGGTTTATAATTTGCCTCTTTAGTTGATTTCCTTGAATACATAGCTGCTACAGTTCATGAATCTCTAAGGGTATTTTGGGGTGGCCATCTGCACCACAGAAAATAACTATTCAAGCATAAATAAGGGGGGAAAAATTAAGTGCCCTGCTCAGTTATGAAGGTATATGTTCTCTGTATGAAGTGTTTGCTTTTTTTCCTCCTGACAGCCTTTTCAACAATATCTATGTTACTGTGATGGTTTCTGACCACAAATCAGGAGTCTATTGAAAAGTTAAAGTTATGGACCCTGTGGGTTTGATTCAGATATTTTCCTTTCATTCAGTCATCTTTATTATTATTATTATTATTATTTTTAAATAATGTCCCTTAACCACTTGCCATTGTAAGTAATTCTGGCAGTTAACTGTGAAGTGTGTAATTTGAAAGAACATCGCCGCAGTAATTCTAACCAGTTTGTTTTTTGCCACAGTATTAACACGGTATGAAGGAGCTAATGACTTTTTTTCTATTTACACAGTATTCTTTAGAATAATTTTATATGGCTTATAAGGGTTGGTATTTTGTATTTTATAGATATTTCACTGGCATTTAGGGAACTAGGCATTTCTAGCACTGCATTTTGTGAGGCAATTTTTGACAGTTGTGTAGTATTACAAGAAATTACCGTACTATAGGCGATAGTGTAGCTAATCGAGGGAAAGAATGAGGGAATAGGACGAGTATTGCACAGATATATTTGAATAAGACACAACTGGCTCCTTGGGTCAGATAATGCAGATGTTAGTCAGTTTGCTTTTAGAAGTAAAGTATGGCTTTTAAAGTGAAAGGTTCTATTTACATTGTAATTACAAAGAAAACTGCACATAAATATTTTGCTTGGTATTGACGCATTGTCATATTTTCTCCATGCATATTCTGTTTTTTTGTTTTGTTTTGTTCGTTACATGTCAAAAGGACCTCACTAATTGTAGTCGTTTAACTTTTGTTTGTATATTTGCTTTACATTACATAACATTTAATTTCCATCCAGCACCTATCCTGTGAACGTATTTAATTTGTATTTTTCTTATGTAGAATTTTATTTTGAGATATAGCAATGCTAATGAAATCTTAAATGTTAATAAAGTATTTACTCCACATTTTATTGAATCTTCAGTGTGGTCTGTACTCAAATTAGTAAAATCAAATGCCACATTTCCTGGTATTTACAGCCTTTGAATATGCTTCAATGTGTCTTAAAGGGGTCATATGATGCTGCTAAAAAGAACATTAATTTGTGTATTTGGTGTAATGAAATGTTTATGCGGTTTAAGGTTCAAAAAACACATTATTTTCCACATACTGTACATTATTGTTTCTCCTCTATGCCCCGCCTTTCTGAAACGCGTCGATTTTTACAAAGCTCATCGTTCTGAAAAGCGAGGTGTGCTGTGATTGGCCGAATACCTCAAGCGTGTGACAGAAATGTTACGTCACTTACCATACTGTGATGCCTGCGGCAACCACATGTGACGACTAGTGATGGAAAGTCCGGTTCTTTTCCGCGAACCGGTTCTTTCGGACAGTTCGTTTCAATGAACCGGTTTAAAAAACCGGTTCATCGGTTATTTTACGCCCTAATGTAATGACGTCATTCGCGATGACGTAATGATATCAAGTCTATCGTCCCAGGCCTTGATGAAAATACACATTCAAATATATAAAATCAGTAATCATAACTTCAGTCAGTTAAAACATCATAATCATGATCTGAAAAGTTTACAATTAAGTTTTGCAGCTAAGCACCCAAATACAGTAACAGGCAGTGATGTGCATACGAGGATTTAAGTTTTGAAGATATAAAGTAAATAAATTAGTTGTCATCAGCGCAGAAACCATAAAAAGTGAATAACTTAAGTAATTTGTGGATTAATGCTTACACTTTTCAACGATTCAGTCCGATTTGGTGACCTGGTTCAACCGGTTCACTAAGAAGAACCGGTTAAATCTAACGATTAGTTCGCGAACCGGACATCACTAGTGACGACCCCGGGCTGGACTCCGCTTCATCCACGGTGAAAGCCGATCCGGCGATCCACAGCGCGAAGTTGAAGTAAATCAATGCTATTGTTCACCCTTTACGTCTGTCTGTCTGTTTTGCAAATATATTTAGCGAATGAAAGGTATTAAAAAGAGTTTGTGACTAAATCTTGTTGGATCCGCTCAAACTGTCAGTCAAACCTCATAACTCCACCCCCTGTCTTGACTGACTGAGTGCAGTGAACTGAAGTTCCACAGCAGAGCAGCTGAACGTCTTGCAAGGGTAAATAAATATCTTCTTGTTTGTATAAGTACAGCGTTGTCTTTACGCAAGAAACACTAGTATGTCTACTGTATAAAGGCTCATGGTTTATGCATTTGAGGTCTGAGACCGGACCTGCGGAGAGAGGGCATTTGCCATCTAAATTAGTCATAGCCAATAGCCTACACTTAAATAGCCTGTGCATACAGTAGCATTTCATCTTTTATAAAATGACATTTTGGCCAAACGTATTTTAACAACGGGAAAAACTGAGCGCCCATATAGCTACAACAAACTTTGTAACCTGTTGATCAAAACGTAATGTGATGCTGCCGTTTTAATGATGGACAAGTTGCACATTTGCACACACATTCGCTGGTCAAAAACCCGGCCATAACTGCGTTTGAGTTTGACACAAAGCGACTGAGTGTTCCCGCCCGCCCTTTTTGTTTCAGCACATGCCCCTCAAAAGGTCTGTGCACGGCCCTGGTCCTCTTTTGGAAGGCCAAACAAAGTAGTTTCACTTTCACAACGAAGTACACAGCGCCTTCACGACATGGTGGCGGCGGCGGCAACAATACTACAGCAAGAATAAAAGTTACGCCTTCTTTCTTTGCGTGAACATTTGGGCGGTGTTATGCAAATCTTCCCACATAGTGACATAAGTATGTGGGGGCGTGTTAGAACGAGCCGTTTTAGGTAGGCGTGGCTGACTCTTTTATAAAGAATGTCTTTGGATTTGAGACTTTAGTCAACAACTTTACAGATCTTCTTTATGCACCAAGAGCTTGTAACACTTCAAAGAGAAAGGAAAAATTGAAATCGCATCATATGACCCCTTTAAAAGATATATGGTTACCAAAAAAAAAAAAAAAGTTCAGGAGAACCCAATGCTGAATTTCTCTTTCTACAGAACTAGTGACTGAACCTTGCACAAGCACTCTGTACAGTGCCAAGTAAGTAAAAGATGGCCATATATATTTTTTTTTCATTTCTTTAATGCATCAAAGTAAACCAATTTTTAATTTCGTTATACAAGATTTAACTAGAACAGATTTTTAAAAATGAGTTGAAATATAAAGTCAAGTAGATTATACTTAAGGTCAGTTGCTGTCTGAAAGGTTTTAGTGTCGGGCATTTTGTTTGAAATGCTAATTTTCTTGGTATCATGCTTGCACATGTAACAAACATTCAACAATTCTCTTAAATTACACTGTAAAAAATCTGTTAAATCTCAACTTATTTAGCAATTCATGCACTTGCGTTAAGTGAATTTGGGTAGATGACAAATAACATGAACAAAGATTTTGTTCTAATGTATATGGGAATCTTGTATGTTTTAGATGCTATAAATTGTCAAGTTTTTCTAATTTAATCACAAGTTTGTGTAAACTGTTGCAGTATTTAAAATGAATTGTTAATGGTACAAATAGTATTTCAATTAATATAGATGATTAGGATCAATAAAGAATGCATGCGTATACATTCAGAAGAACGTAATGTAAAAAAGCTTTAAAAGGAAGTCTGGAACGCTGCTGTCATGTCAGCGGCCCATTTGTTTTATTAACCATTATGAGAAAATATGAGTCCTACATACAGAATGAATTTTAAATATGTTTAACCGCAAAAGCCCTTTAAAGTGAAAATGCTTAAGACTTCTAAGTTCTGACCTGCAACTGAGTCTTGATTTTTTTTTTTTTTTCAAAGTCTTTAAACATGACCACAACAACATCTTGAAAAATAGTACTCTTTTATTAAAGACGGCGAGGTGCTGATAATCACATTTAACCTACACAAACAAATATCAAGCAGTAGAAACATGACAAAGAATGTACAACAAATTAAAATTATTTTTTCTGTTGTGAGAACATATACATTAAGGGCTACTGCATCATATCCTCTTCTTCCTCCTCATCCTCTTCATCAAAGTAGCGCTCCTCGGCGTCACGGCTTACAATATCCAGGTTATCATAATCTGGATTCTCATCCACCTCACTGTAATGAAAATATCAATGTTATTGTTATTGTAATTAAGATATTATTTTAATATTAAAATATACGGTTATGTAAGACCTAAAATATGGGCGATTAACACTCTACAGTTCACAATAAATAGCATTATTAACAACTGATTTGAAGAGAAATACATCCTGGTAATGCAATATTTATTTTTTTATACTCCAAATTTGAGACCGATGTGAGCAAATACTATGATCCGACCGGTAGTTGAAGTCATCCTTGCCATCCAGGAAGCGCTGATGCATTTGACTCAGGAACTCCTCTCTCAACATGGCTTTCTCTTCTGCATTCGGCTCCCACTCTGCCTGTCTGGGCTCATCACATTCTAAAACACATTCATCCATTAAAGAAATGAAATGGAATCTCAGTCATGAGTCAGTCAGTGAGATCTCAGACCTTCCTCCTCAGACTCCTCCGCTGCACACTGCTCTCTCTCCTGCTCCTCCTCCAGGCGGTTCTGGATCAGTTTCTCTTGGTAGGAGTTGATAAGCAGGTCAGCGAGTCCCCCCGGGCCACTCCTCATGGCCTCCTCTGAGCGCTGCAGGATCTCCTCTTCGCTGAGGTACTGTCCGATGTACTGCTCGTACAGCAGTGGATCTCGCACACGCATCTGCTCCTCGCTGAAATACTGGCCCTCTGCCGAGAGATAAAGTTGCTGAGTAAGACAAAAGTATCAGAGTGCTATTCTTGCAAGTGGCAGAGGAGTTATTTTATGGATTTTCTGGCCTTGCATTTTTGGTTTTATTAATAATTTTAAGTAACAAGGATACATTAAATCAAAAGTGAGATAATGTTAGATTTCTATTTCAGAAAATTGCTGTTCTTTAGAACTTTCTACTGATAATCATAATAAATGCTTCCTTAGCAGCAAATCAGCATGTTAGAATGATTTCTGAAGGATCATGTGACAGAAGACTGGAGTAAATGCTGCTGAAAATTCAGCTTTGCATCACAGGAATAAAATACATTTTAAAATATATTCAAATACAAAACAGTTATTTTAAAATAATATTTCACACTATTACTGTTTTTGTAATATTTTTGGTCAAATAAATGCAGCCTTGGTGAGCATATGAGACTTACAGACTCCTAACTTTTGAACAGTAGTATATATATTTTATATTACATTATTTTTACCAATTCTTTTTTTTTTACTGAATGAAATATATGACTTTAATAAATTAATCAACATTTGAATGCATGTTGAAATGCATTTTGGGACTGCCGTTGATGCTGCGTTAGAATTTGGACAAAATGAGGTATTTCAACAGGAAATATAATTGTGTAACTTTCTGGAACAGACTTCAAACAAGCTGTGTCTCATCTTGGAGGCTGCATCCTCCGGAGGTCACATTTGTCAGTTGCATACATCATTGAGGTGGTATCATTTAAGAAAAATAATAGTAATTTAAGAAAAATAATAGTAATAAAATTGACTCTTATTCCTTGTGAGGTGTAAAATACTGTAATTTCTTTCTTACTTTGCAATCTAACGGATACTTTTCTTAATGAGACCACCTCAATGATGTATGCAGCCGACAAAATGCGATCTCCGAAAGATGCAATCTCCGAAATGAGATGCAACCATGTTCTAACATTCAGAAAGTAGGCCTACTTATTCAATTTTCAGCAACTTGTGCCAATCTAATGAACAACAGTATGAATTATGCTGGTACATGGAAGTCTGTAAATAACTAAGATCAATTTTACATAAAAGCCTTGAATTTCAAGATTTTTTTTTTTTTTAGAAACTCAGGTAACAACCTGATTTGAAAAACACCAGATTAAAATTCCAGCTGGTGTCTGAAAAAAAAAAAAAACCTGTGCTTACCCTTCTGAAGAGCACGGAGAGCTGCATAACGATGGTTACGGACCCTTTTCCGGTCGGCTGTGCTGGATTCCCGTCTCTGAATCTCCTTGCAGTAATACTGCACTCTGCAGTCACTGCTCAGGTGTGAGAAAGCCTCTGTGTGCTCTGGCTTCAGATGGGCCTGATAGCGCTCTAGAAATACCAAGGGCTTTGATTCGTACTGATCCATTAAAACCTTCTTCTTCTCCTCCAAAGTTAAGTCTGGCTCTCCCAGCTGCTGACTTTTCACTGGACTCCCACTGGCTGCTATAGCCTCTATCATTGAGCTGAGACAGCTGGATGGCTCATCCTGAGGAAAACAAGCAAGAGCCACATGGTTAGAATCATGTATCGAATTATACTGCACATATGAGCTGAACAACGGTGACACCTCACCTTTTGATTTGGAGAGCTGCTTGTTGTGTTTAGGGCTTCCTTGAGATCCGTCTTAGGAGGACATCTGTCTTGAGCAGCAGGTTCATTGCAGTTGTCAGATGTGTTAGGTTTAGTGCATGGCTCGATTTCTCCCCACAATGCTGTCTTCTGCTTTAGAGAGCAGTGTCAACAGAGATACAAGCGGTTAGTATCATTTGGTAATTGTACAAAATGACTAGATATTATCTACATTAGGGCTGCACGATAAATCGCATGCGATATTTAATGCGCATCTCATCTACAGGGAAAAGCTAGCATTTTGTCTTTACTGTCACTTTTCTCTGTCTTTCTATTTTTTTTTTGTGTGATGAAAGATTGATTTTAAGGAAGAGGTGGAGTTTAAGCAAACTAAATGACTGGAGAAGTCTTGATCACCAGAGAGACGTCTGTCATTTCACTGACATTTGGACTAAATATTACATTTGACTAAAAAATACACTTACATGGACGAATCATTCACAATAAGATCAATAACAAACATTTTGAAACTAGTTTGGGTGAATTTCCATTTCATAACTTTACTTTCATGAGGCATGACATTCATAAACCACTCTTCTGTAGATGGTGATGAGCTGAACACATCTCACCTGTACATCTGCAGAGTCTGTCCATCTCTGGCTTGTCCCACAGCTGCTCATGTTTTCATCCTCCTGGGGTTTGACACACGGCTCGATTTCTCCCCACATTGCTGTCTTCTGCTTCAGATTGCAGTTTTAGCGCTAACTGTTGTTGAAATATTACCGTGATGTTTCTGTCTATCGATGTTTTATTCCGCCAAACATACCAACGCTAATTCGAAATCATACTAAATGTGTAACTAATACTACAGTAAGACGTTACCATTCTTGGCTATATTTGTAGCAGTGGGATATATGACAGACACTCGTAACACTTAATTAATGTAATAATTTTACATTTGTCCTTTTAATTGTCCTGTATTCAAAACAACTACTCAAGAAAAGGCGTTTTGGTTTTACGTTCTGACCGTCAGTGTAGCCACTCTATTAGTTCCGTGTGGAACATTTTCAATGCAAATTGAAAGTTCCGTTTATTCCAACGTGTGTAAATTCACCATTGTCCAGTAGGTGGCGACATACGCCAACACTCCGCTATATACTGCTACTGCGTTTGACTAGTCAGAAACCAACAACCAAAAATAATTATTACAGCCACACAGCTTTCGGAATCATCTTTGGGCATCATCATTTTAAAACTAGCTGCATCTTATAACTGAGCATTGAATATCAGGTAAGTAGTGAATAACGCACCAAAAACAATATTAATATTTGTCGCAAAAAATTCCAGTGTTTCTAATAAATCTTGGTTATCTCATATTATTTTGTCGTAATTTTAAAATACTCTAGTAAGATGAGCAACGCATTTCAGTCACCTCACAACACTTTAGTGTGGTTTTAGAAAGCTTTTTGGACGAGGTTTATGAGACTTGGTACTCTTTGTCCGTTGTGATGCTTGACAGCTTTAATAGTGTGCCTCATCTTACTTTACCTTCGACGACTGGAGAATAGCAGTGTAAAAAATTCTTAAAAGTGTCATTTTGTTTTCCTCCGTTGTTATGCTTGACTTAATACATGTACTTTACTTACCTTCGACGACTGGAGAGTAACAGTAAATAAATTCTTCAAAACATACTGATTTGAATCGAGTGAGTGAATCACAAAGCAGTCCATAATATCTGGACAGCTTTCCATTATACCGTTCGCGTTCTCATTAATTTTAATGGCAGTTGCTCGGCTGGCGCAGGATTCCCCAGAAGTACATAATTCAGAATCTGCCATCTTTAATCATGGGCGCTCAGTTCTGCCACCAAGTTTAATGAATCAGCATCCTGAGACGTAAATACCATAATAATAATAATAATGACTAAACCCTTCATTAGTGACTGTGCACTCTACTTTAATATGAAATATTTGCAGTCTGCAAAATGTTGCTTACTTCCATTTTACATTTACTTCCATAAGAATACTCAGCCACTTTTGAATAAATTGCAATAAAATAAAATAAAATTAAATTAAAGAAAGAAAGAAAGGTTTTGCCAGATGGTGTAGTTACTACATTTACCTGGGTCTACATCTGGGATCCTAACATTGCATGTCTGCATACATATGAAATGTGGGAGTCAACAATTCCTTTGTTACTGTGATCATATCCACTTGTTAAGTCATGATGTATGGAATTCTGCTTTTGAGTCCAAGTCTCTACTTGTTTCAGTTGAGAATATTATCTCACAAGCTGTTTATGAGCACTATTTATTCATATCACACATTTACGCTAAGCTTTATATGCTATAGTCCCTAGGTTCACGGACTCCTGGACATCAGTATTTTAACCATTCATAAAAGATGAATCACTGTCTGGCCATCTGAGATTTCGGTATGGAGATAAAGTTTAAGCTACACTATTTTAAAGCTGCTGGGTATGAACTGGCTCTGCTTCTGACCTTATACTCTCACTATCTCTGTTTGTTTGCCCCTCGTTATAAACAAAAGACAAATTGCATCTGATTGAAAAAAAAACTTTTTTAGGGACTGTTTAATATATTAAAATAATATTGAACTGTCTATATAAACTTAAAAAACAAATTACACATCTTCCTTTTGCTGGAAAATGTTTATCTGTAGATGACAGAGAATATCCCTCAGATTAACTGTGGTCATTACAATAAAAGGTAATACAATGTAAAAATAGGATTGTATATAGCTTTCCAAACACCACTTCTTTATCAGTCAAGTCATATCAAAACCAAAAAAAAAAAAAAAACAGCATTAATAAATAAGTTTGCATTAATAAATAAGTTCTAGTTGCAATAACAAGAGAAAAGGACAGAGGAATGACTATCATCATGAAAGCTTGAGGAAAATGCTTTGATTATTTATTGAAGGGTTAAGGACATTAGGCTGCTTAATGGCAAAAGCTCATATACTAGAAAAAAAAAAAACCGCTAAGAATATCCATGTGCCCAAAGTGATTAAACACTTTAAGCAGTTATATACTACTCCATCCATACAGCTCTATCATTTATTCAATAGCAATTTAAAAAACACCTCTCAACAATTCTCTTGCAAAAGACATGGTTCTAGTACCATAAGATACATGAAACACTGCACACATTTGTCTCAAAGTCCAATATTAAATTGATGTCTGATTATGTTGTCAGAGTACATACTTTTATCGGTTGTAATCATCCATGATTTTTGCTTACAACTAAACCTCTTGCACTCATCTCAACATAGACTATCATAAAATATTGCATTAGACAACAATAAGTGAGTTTACTCATTTCTACAAAGAGGAATACCTTGTAATTACATCTCAGTGCAATTAGATATGTCTACAAAATATCTGAAAATTGAAATATCAAAAACTTGTAAAACATCCAGATGTTTGTATTTCTAAATCTCTCAATAACATGCAACTGATTTTCCCTCTCCATCTTTTGAGGAGAATCATAAATGGACAAAAAAGTAAATTAGCACAGCGCAAAAGCTGCATCAGCTATTTTAAATCTCAGGTGATACATTGATGACACTGGATATGTAGTTGTGTGAGTCATGTAATTTAAAGAGCAGGATTCGCAGGTGTCGTTTACCTGTGATGTGCCAAAAACACCATGGCTTAGTTTAACTATACATAAATCACATTGATCACTTCTAAAAAAAAAATCAAAACATAACTTTGTGTTCCTTTCATTAAACAGTTGTCTCATTGTTTCACAAGGGCACAAACCAGCAGTGGCGGCTCGTCGGGGGAGGCACAGCTTCCCCATAATTTTGAGGTGAAAATGGGAGGAGGACGATTTAATGTCCAGAGGTGCCATTTCAAAGCAGAAAAGATTAAAAAAAAATAGATCAGACGTGTACTGATATAAACGCCTTTAAGCCTGGAATACACTAGAAGTTGACGCTAGTTGCCGAAAGTCAGAGCCAGTCTGCAGATTTGAGTTGACAGATTCCATAGAAAATCGCATAGTGTATCACTGAATATTCGAAAGATGCCACAATCCTGCACAGAACGGCTCAACGGCTCTGTGAGAACCTAGAGTATGGTGAATGACGTCAAGTTGGCCATTCCAAGATGGCGGCCGCATCTACGTGCCTGGAGCCGTCGAATGGGGCATTTATACATACATATCTATGATCGGAACAACTTGAAAGTCTGGTAGTGTGTGATCCTCAGTCATGTAGTGTATGATGGCCAGTTTTCCTTTTTCACTATTTACAAAGTCGGTAAGTGTATGATACCTAGTGTTTTAAAAATCTGTTCAGATTTTAAAAGTCATGTAGTGTATTCCAGCCTTTAGTCTTCTGCTTTGACAGTTGTAAAGTTTGAACATCAGGAGAAACAGAACAAGGTCACATTTACATTTGAATTACTCTGTCCTTCACATGCAACTTGTGCCACAGCCAAGGGCCACAAAATGTTAAAATAGGTTCTGTTGTGGTTAAATTAGGTTATAATGTAGAGTGTAGCAGAAATTGTAATATACATTTTGAGATGAACCTGAGTATGGTAAAGGGTTGTGTATGTGAGATACACGTTACTGGCTATGCTTGTTTAAAAAGTGAGTAACCTAACTGGGTAAACTTACAGAAACATTTATAGTGTATTGCACTCAGGCTACAGATCATTTGTAGTTTGGTTCTCATTGGATCTATATAATACGACACACCCCGTCCTCCCAATAGAAAAATAAAAATCATCTCAATATCAGTAGGCCTAAACAGACTAGCATTGATCCCACAGCTATTTGATTAAAAAATGTACATTCACAAGAAGACAACAGAAGACAATTCAAATTGATATGTGCAAAAACATAGATCTCTATAAAAAATATGTGCATATGAATAGAGCTTGTTTCTCCACTAATACAATATGTTCTCTATTTACACATTATGAGTCAATAAAATACATAACATGTACAGTTCTTATTAGTTCTTTTAATCTGTATACTCTGTCTCTACAGAAAACATTACCAATGCTCATGACAAAGGGAGGAAAGACTGACAAATATGATACAGATGATACATAACACTACACATCCTGAACTCAAATCAATGTGATTGAGCACTGGGATTAAAATGAGAACCAGAGTTCCATTTGGAAACCTGAAATTGCATATCCCATGTTCAACACCTTGCCCGATCACAGTCAGATCAAACGCTGTTCCCTGCTAGGATCGGCTGCCATTCCTAGCTGGCATTCACGATGATATTATATTTGAAAAAGAAAGAAAGAAAACTTTGGCTACAGAAAGAGGTCGACGTCCCCTATTCAACTAGTTGCCGCACCCTTGAGTGTGGATGGTAAAATTTGATTAAAGCCGATGTCCCTCATTGGGCTGTCCTGTTTACAGAGCTGAAGTCAGTGGATTCTTCAAATCGGTTATCAAAGGGGCACGGCTGTGTGCTTTCACACAAAATGCCTGCCAGATTGCCCATTGGGGTGGGGTGCGGCAGGGACAGATACTCGGCACAGTGAGAGGGGTGCCGCTCTACTTTGATGAGCGGCTGGGTAGACAGCTGTTTCTCAATCAAATCCAGAGAGTCCCGCTGTAGGGCCAGGTCATAGGATGGCGTCCTCCTCCGTAGTAACATGCTGCTCTCCGACAGCTTTTTCATGGATGCAAGAGAAGCGGGAACTTCCGTTTCAAATGGGGGCTCGATGGAGATACAGGGAGGGCTCATCTTTTTCTTACGGGGAATGTGCAATGACTGTCCACGCATCGGAATGTGCCTCTTCTCACTGAGTTCTTGACCAAACAGCCCGTCATCTACTGAAGAGCAAATCTCAATTGAGTGCCTACGATGGTCATCGGTACCATAGGGTTTTTCCAGAAAACCTTCCGTGTCCACGCTGAAGCACTTCTTTGGGTCTTTGACACTTAAGTTGGCAGCACTGCTGCAGTTCTTCACAGGGACGGGAAGCAGCATCCCTGAGGTGGTATAAGGAGACAGGGAGTGACTCCGGGCTTCTGCCTGA